GCTGAATTCACTGAAATACGAGCAAATTAAAAACATCTTGACAATTGTTAATCAGTGATTATCTTGTCTTGACTGCTTAGACGTACAAGACTTTATCTGTTGGTTTCATTTAGCTGCACGGGAGCCGTCTGGGTTTTTGCCAAATCAGCAGACAGAGCAGAGACCAAATGTAGAAATCGCTCAGAGTTTGGGACAACAGATGGGGCCAGGGAAGGTCAGGGTGGGGGTGACGTGAGGGTGAGAAGGTCACGCTTCAGAGGTCACAGAAAGTGACAATTCTGTCCTATTTTAACATTAAACTTAGGACGGTGAGTTCAAGTGGCTGCGGGCAGATTTGTCCCACGAGGGACTGAGCTGTCATGTGACAGAGGGGAAGTGATGGATGTTGGCAGGAAGGCACATCCTCATTTATATTCTGAGATTCTCTGCGCTGACATTTTCTGCTCCTCTATTGTAATTACACTGTAAATCTGTGACAAGAAATCTTCAGTTTAATTAAATTAATTGAGGGTCAGAGAATAATCTTGTAGACTTTGCATTTAGTGACGTTCTTGACAGGTCAAATGGTTTAAAGAGGAGTTTTGATCTGATCGTATGTCTTCATGTTCTTACATATATTAAGGGCCAGTCTATTATTTGTGGAAGTGGATGTGGGAATAACCTCCGACATTTTGGGATAAATCATTCTCCATTTACTTCTTGTCCTAAAGAAAAAGCCTCTGTACAGTTCTTGATGAGAACTTTATAAGTTTGGGGTTATTATCAATGTCATCTAAAGTCACTTGTTTATGGACTACATTTATTTAGAGCTTTTCTAGTCCACTCAAAATGCTTTACAGTACAAGTCACATTCACCTGCTCACACACGTACACACACGTTCACACAACGCCACTATAAAGAGTGTTTTTTTATTCACTCATGTGTGGTTCACAGTCACTCAGTGGTTCTTGGACAATTTCTGGGTTCAGTGTCTTGCTCAAGGATACCTCAACATGCCGACTGGGAATCGTACCACTGACCATCTGCTTTGTGGATGACCTGCTGTACCCCCTGAGCCACAGCCACCCACTCATCAGACTCTGCTTTGCTGACAATGAGGATGCCAAAAATCTGCATTCATTTGTACTGTCTAATTATTTTAGATTGCTAGAATGCTAACATGCTAAATTAGATCATAAGAACGTCCTTACTTGTGCAGATCTTTAGCCCAAAGCATTAGATTGTCGATGGCACTGCATGAAAACCATCCATCCATCAAACCATCAAACCCTTCATCCATCAACGATCACCCATTTATCCTGAGGATCCTGATTTATTATCCGTCCATTTGTCGTTATCGAGGCTTTTCAGTTCAAACCACAAATGTGAACTTCATGGTGGCGCCCAAAAAATTAAGGCTTCATCCTCTGTGGACCATGAATTTCATGGCAATTAAACTGAGATATTTTAATCTGGATGAAAGTGATGGATTAAAAGAACAGCTGACATTGACATTGAGAGCCAAGCAGCGAGCATGGCTAATAAGACTAGAACAACAATAAACACCAGTTATAAGTACAGAAGCTAGGGAGAAGCAAAGTATGAGAAGTAAATTAAAGATTTCACTACTTTATGGTCTTTATTATTAAAATCTAAACATTAAATATGAAAATTAAAACATGTAAAAACACATACAAGGATCATAAGGTCTGTAAGGGACTGTTAGTTTAAATTTGGCCTGTGAATTTAAGTCCAAATATCCCAGAGGTCCCTCCAGAGAGGCCAGGTCTGGACAGCTCCCTCTCTTTCCTGTTCTCCTCCACATCTTAATAGTTTCCCACTCAGAGATGAACGTGTGAATGCTATTAGCAGGGTGTGAAAGGACCTGTACCATCCTCCAGTGTATAGTGTAAAGAGTTTGAGACAGAAACACTAGTTTGTGTACTGTTTGTGGGTTTGTATAGATGATGTTGTCGTAGCTGGATTAAAGACTCACAACACTGTACTCAGTAGAGCGTATACAACTGTCTGTATTATTACATACTGACAATGATTCAAAGATGCACTTCGCCATTGAGAAGAATATGATATCAGAGACAAGAGACAAAACAACTAAAATATGTTATTTCTCATGTTTGAGATAATGTCATATGAAAAATCATTTATCTTCTTCTGCTAACTAAATTATAAAAAGATCATTCAGCTATAAAATATAAGGATAGATAAAAGCATCATATCTGTGTTGAATCACATCCTTAAGAATACATTTCAACAACGTCTGATCTGATATGTGTCATAGGTGAATATGTTTACTACCAGTTCAAATAGTTAAGGATTCTGACGTCCATCCTGTTTGTGTAGTTTTACGGGGTGAAAACAAAGAATAATGAAAGGAGAGAAAACCAGACAGCCACTCAGGCTTACGTCTAAGCATGATACAGAAAACCTTTTCCATGGATTCATCTTGAGTGGGCTCAACAGCTGCAGCGCTGCCTTCACAGGTCTCTCTAAGAGTCAATCGGACAGTTACTGCTGATTCAGAGCAGCTGCCAGGGTCCTCAAGACCGAGAACGTGAATCCAATCACACCAGTTCTCCGACCTTTACACAGGCTCCCTGTGCAGAGATGTTCTCCAACTAAACTAAAACCTTTCCTTATATTCATGTGAACTTCGGCCTGTTTATTCATATATTGCACGTCACTGTAGCTGTTTTTGTTTTTACTTGGTTAATGATTAATTTTAGATAATATTTTTATTCTTTCAAATCATATTTATGTGTCTTATATTTTTTGGTCTTGGCCTCATGTAAAACTTTTTGATTTGCCACTCTGTTGAAAGGTGCTGCATTAAGTCACCTGGCCTTGGTTCTCTGCCTGCACTGTTTATTATGGGGCTTTTGGCAGTGGGGGCATTTGTATAGTTATCATTACAATGATTGAATATTTAGTGAACACTCTGTTGAACACCTTCACTCTGTTGAAGGGACATCAACCCCTTTGCACTCTAGCATATATCTTAATGTTATTTTATATTACTTAATAGGACGTGTGTGTGTGTGTGTGTGTGTGTGTGTGTCTTTTTTTCCTACTTCCAAGTGCACCATCAGTAGCAGGATTTCTAATATCTATGTAAAATTGCAAGAAGGGAACTAAAAGTAAACACGACATGATTCCATGCTTCAGATTATTCATGATTGGCTCTGTGCTTATACAACAGGAGCTTTGAATAAAAATTCAGTTCACTTAAATGTTTCTTTATGGCTCCTATAGATAAATAAGGCATCTCAACTGCTTGTCTTCCTCTACAGTATCTCCCTCTGTGTGTGTGTGTGTGTGTGTGTGTGTGTGTGTGTGTGTGTGTGTGT